GTGTAGCCCTGGCTGTCCTGGAACTCACTCTGTAGACTAAGCTGGCCTCAAACTCGAAGTTTTGCCTGCCTCTGCCTCCAGAGTGCTGAGTTTAAAGTCACATACCACAACTGCCCCAGCTAGATTTTTTTTTTTTTTAAATAATGGAATGCTTCACAAAGCCACACAGGGCCTGGGTCCTCATGACATCGGTGCACACGTCAGCTGAAGAGACTCTATGTTGCTCTGTGTGCTGCTTCTCTTGGGGGGAGGTGGTGGCTCCAAGTCGCAGAAAGAGAGTAGTTCTCCAGATGGGCAGGTGAGACAGTGGGTGGCTCTGATCCCACTGTGACCTTTCCTGTCCCTTCTACAGGAGCTGGAGCTGGTGGAGGATGTGTGGCGGGGTGAGGCACAGGACCTCCTGTCCCAGATTGCCCAGCTGCAAGAGGAGAATAAGCAACTGATGACCAACCTCAACCACAAGGACGTGGGCTTCTCTGAGGAGGAGTTCCAGAAGCAGGAAGGTGAGGCATCCCATCTCAGTGATCCCTATGACCACACAGGCCACTGCCTCTGTTCTGGAGCCTTTGGCGCCTGTGAGCAGGAGGATTCCTATCTTGACTCTCTCGGAGAGAAATGACTTAGGTCCAGATGAGATGTTAATGTGAACTTAATTAGCTGTCACAGCTTTCTGCCTTCCTACATGATTCCTCTAGACCCTGGGACACACTGGACAAGCCAGACCCTGGCCACTTGAAACTTTGTTTTAGCATAGTGGGATAGGCAGTAAATATGTAAATATTAAATAGAGGTCTTATTTCAATTTATGGCAACTGACAGTATATGAGAGGTGAGGTGGGGGCAAAGGGTAACTACGTGAGGTGGCTTTATGTCCACCCATCTGGATGGTCGCAGTTCAGCCCTGATGAAGTGGCACATTGAGTCACGTTAGTGCCATGAACAGGTGGCACAAGCCAAGACCCTGGGGTATGAGTGTTTGAGGGAAACCTATAAGGCCAAGGTAAGAGAAGATAGTCAAGCTGATGGGGGCTGAAGATAAGATTGGAAGGGTCCAAGGGTGTTGTTGTCCTCTGTGTTTGAAGAGATTTCAGGCTGTGGTCACAGGACAGGGTGAGTAGCAGGCACCTGGGGACAGCAGTTCTGATTTGATTGGTACTGGAGGCCATCAACTGCCATCTGTCCTATAAACTTACCTGGGACCTTCATACATGACTCTCTCCTGGGGCTGGGAAAACAAGAATGGACAGTGGAGTTTGGTCTGGGCCCTTGTGAGCTCCATCTGCTCTGTAGAGCCCACAGCCTTCCCTTGACATGGGAGCTTGCCTCTTGTAGCTGACACCAGGGAATCATATCTCAGATTTGTCTCTTTTTTATTTGTTTGTTTCTTTTGGTTTTTTGAGACAGAGTTTCTGTGTGTAACAACTCTGGCTGTCCTGGAACTCACTATGTAAACCAGGCTGGCCTGGAATTCCCAGCGATTCACTTGCCTCTGCCTCCTGAGTCCTGGGACTAAAGGTGTGCACCACCAATACCCAACTTGTTTTGTTTTTGCAGAGTCTCATTGTGTAGACCTGGCTTTCCTGGAACATGCTGTGTAGACCCGGCTAGCCTCTAACTCACAGAGCTCTGCCTCCTGAGTGCTGGGATTAAAGGAGTGCACTACTACACCCATCTGCAGGCTCTTCAGCCTAAGCAAACCCTTGGCTGTCTACAAAAAGCCCTGTCCTCTGGTTTGATGGACAAGAGTGGATTGGGATGAGGGCCCTGGAGAATTTGTGGTTACAACTTTGAGAGGATAAAGTAAGAGCTGGGGATGTGGCTCAGTAGCGTGCATGAGGCACTGGGTTGGATCCCAGGCATTGCATATACCAGGTGTGGTGATGCACATCTGTAACCCCAGCACTCGGGAGGCAGAGGCAGGCAGATCTCTCTGAGTTTGAGGCCAGCCTGAACTACACAGCAAGTTCCAGGACAGTTTGGACTGCACAGAGAAATCTTGTCTCAAAAAAAAAAGTAAGCCTGGTGGTAGCACACGCCTTTAATCCCAGCACTCGGGAGGCAGAGGCAGGTGGATCTCTGTGAGTTCGAGACCAGCCTGGTCTACAAGAGCAAGTTCCAGGACGGCCTCCAAAGCCACAGAGAAACCCTGTCTCAAAACCCCCTTCCCCCCAAAAAAGAGAGAGAGAGACATGCACTACTATGCCTGGCTTAAACTTTTATATTATTATTATTATGTTTGTTTGTTTGTTATTTATTTATCGGTTTTTCGAGACAGGGTTTCCTCTGTGGCTTTGGAGGCTGTCCTGGAACAAACAATAATAATAATAATAATAATAATAATAATAATAAATAAAGTTTAAAAAGAACAGACAAGGACAGTGAGATGGCTCAGTGGGCACAGTGCTTTTGGCTAAGCCTGACATCATGGGTTTAACCCCCAGGTCCCACACAATAAAGGAGGGAGAGAATGGACTCTTTCGCATTGAACTCTAATTCCCCACAAGTAAGCATGACTTACACACACACACACATGCACAAATAAATGTAATAAAATTCAAAACAAATGAAATAAGGTGCTGATAAGAACTGAAGGAAAAACAAAAAATTCACAGTTGAATCCTGGTCTGGAATTCTCTTCTCCTGGGTGTCCTTTGTAGGATGTGTTTGGTGGATTAAAACCAGAGTGTATCTGTGAGTAGATGGTCTCTGGAGCCAGACCACACAGATGACTCTTGACCCCAGCACTGATTTGCCATGTTATTTGACAGACTCACAAGACCTTTGTGGGCCTCTGCTGCCCAGTTTGAAAAGGACAAAGAGGTAGCGGTACCTCTCTCATAAGTTTGTCTGCCTTCTTAGTTTATAAATGGACCATGTCTGTCATTCATCCACAGATGGGGCTTTCTGGCTATATCCACTTTTTGGCTGCTATGAACATCTTTTGGGTGTTTCTGGGAAGACCTGGTTTCAGCTCTGTGGGGTCATGTCTAGGAATGGAATTGTGGAATCTTTTTTTTTTTTTTTTTTTTTTGAGACAGGATTTCTCTGTGTAGCTTTGTAGACAAGAAGGCTGGCCTTGAACTCACAGAGATCTGCCTGCCTCTGCCCCCCGGCCCCCCTCCCCCCAGTGCTGGGATCAAAGGTGTGTGCCACCACTGCCAGGCCGGAATCATTTTATTCAGGAGAAAAATCTTGGTTTTGCCTATGATAGTCCTACCATGTACCCAGAGGCCTCAGGGGTCATCTGGGAGCCCCACTGTTGAAGCCTCAGAGGCCTCAAGCAGCTCTGAGCTGCTTTCCCTGTGGCCCCTTCCCTCTGGGAGTGTGGCTCTGCCCTTGCAGTTTTCCCAATCCCTGCTGACCATCATAGACCAGTGTAAGGTGTGCACAGGAAATACACTGAGCATGGAGTGTGCTCGGCTTTCATGGGACCAGCTGGGGAGCTAGCTGTGTTCTCCATGCCCGCAGCCCCCGCCTGAGTGAAGAGGCAGGCAGATTCCAGGCTGCCTTCAAGGTTATTTTTATTTTGTGGGGAAACCATGGGAACACAGCAGGGACCCACTGTTCCCCACCTACTAGAGGAACAGGCATGGGGCAGGCAGTGCCCTGGAATAAAGAGGGCAGGTGCTGGTGACCTTGAGTCCCAGTCAAGAGTAACATGGAGCAGGAAAGGGGTGGGAGGTGGGGGTCAAGGGCCATCTGAGGACTTGGTGCAGGTATCAGATGAGCAGGTGAGTCAGGGGGAGGAGGGCTCAGAGGGCCTGTGCCTACCTGGGCCACTGGATTTCTGAGTAGCAGCAGGTGCTGTGTTCAGGTCTCTTATCTCACCACAAAAGCCTTATGGATTAAAAAATCCCCTTGGAGCTGGAGCTCAGTGGTTGGGAGCACTGGCTGCTTTTCCAGGAGGATCAGAGTTCAATTCCCAGCACCCACATGGCAGCTCACAACTGTCTGTAACTCCAAGATCTGACAGCCTCACACATTCAGGAAAAACACCAATGCACATAAAATAAAATAAATAATTGAAAAAAGTCCCCTCTGCCATTCAGCTTTAATCCCAGTACTCGGGAAGCAGAGGCAGGCAGATCTCTATGAGTTGGAGGACAGCCTGGTCTACAGATGGAGTCACAGGACAGAGAAACTGTCTCAGAAAAATGAAAACAAACAAACAAACAAAAAACAGAAATCCCCTCTGAATGTCTCTGGGAATCTGCCCAGCTAGAGAGCTGTTAGCACACAGGGCTGTGAACTGAGTGTCCAGCACAGGGCAAAAGGGGTGAAGAGGGACCTGTATGGATTTGCCAATGGCCCCTTGGTATCTGGGAAGTGATTTTGTCACCAGGAATGAAGCAAAGCTGACCACACAGTCATTTGTTTGTTTGTTTGTTTTTTCCTTTAAATTTTTTCTTTTCAAGACAAGAGTTTCTCTGTATAACAGTCCTGGCTGTCCTGGAACTTGCTTTGTAGACCAGGCTAGCCTTGAACTCACTGAGATCTGCCTGCCTCTGCCTCCAAAGCCACCACCATCCTGCTTCATCAAATGCCTGAAAGGCACCTTATGGGTGGGAGGCCTGCTCCTCAGTACCTCACCTGCCTCACTGACAGTTTACAGGAATGGAGCTGTCCTGGCTACCCACCAAATGCTGTGTCCTAATGGTATTGTGTGTGTTGCCTCTACCCATTCTCCAAGTTTCCACTGTCCCATTTTATGAATTTGGAAACAAAGGCAGAAAGGGCCCAGAGCCACATAGGCCAAATGTGGCTTTCAGTAACAGTGTGAACTTTGAAGGCTAACCTCCAGGTCACCATGTGGGATCGTGTCTATCATGATGTGTTGTTATTATCAGGTGGAAGTATTTCCTGGTGAGGGAGGGGCGCCATTGTACAGAGGAAAAGAACAAGAGGAGTCTTCTGTTCAGTGATCCCAAGGAGGTCAGAAGGAAGAGCCTTAGGCAGAGGGATGAGAGAGGGAAAGATGGTGAGGTAGGAATGTGTTTGTCAAGACTGAAGGCAGGGGCAGGCACCAGGGTGTATGGAGGGTATGTGGGACACTTAGGGGAGAGCTCTGGCCCGCTTGCAGTGTGACACTATGTGGGGCTTAAGCCAAGGGGAGGTGGCTCACCTGCCAGTCTCACCTTCATCCAGGCATGTCAGAGCGTGAGCGGCAGGTGATGAAGAGGCTGAAGGAAGTTGTGGACAAGCAGAGGGATGAGATACGAGCCAAAGACAGGGAGCTCGGCCTGAAGAATGAGGACGTTGAGGCTGTAAGTGACCAATGCTAACCTGAGTCCACTCTGCTACTTCATGGAAGCAGCAAGAGGAGGGTCCTCTGTTCACAAACCATAGGAGGGGGCTGGAGAGATGGCTCCACAGTTAAGAGCACTGGCTGCCTCACTCAGTGTCTCTTTCTCTCTACAGCTGCAACAGCAGCAGACGAGGCTAATGAAGATCAACCATGACCTTCGGCACCGGGTCACAGTGGTGGAAGCCCAGGGGAAGGCCCTGATTGAGCAGAAGGTGGAGCTTGAGGCAGATCTGCAGACCAAGGAGCAGGAGATGGGCAGCCTGCGGGCAGAACTCGGGAAGCTTCGAGAGAGGCTGCAGGGCGAGCACAGCCAGAATGGGGAGGAGGAGGCTGAGGTGAGCAGCAGGCTGGGGTTGAGGTGGTGTGGGAATCCGAGTTGTGGGCCAGTAGGAAGAATTGCCTTGTTTTCTCCCATTGTACCTAAGAAGGTAGGAGGCACACACACACACACACACACACACACACACACAGAGAGAGAGAGAGAGAGAGAGAGAGAGAGAGAGAGAGAGAGAGAGAGAGAGAGGTTGACCTGAGGACACACAACTGGGCAAGGGCAGAGCTGGGCCTGAAGCCCAGGTCTCCAGCATTCCAGAGGGCATGCAATGCAATCCAGTGATGACTACTGAGCTTCATTCATTCATTCATTCATTCATTCATTCATTCATGTGACTGTTGACCATGTAGCAGGCACAGAGAATAGAATGGTAAGAATTGCCTAGCCCTGGCTGCTGTCCCATGGAGCGTGTTTATAGGGACTGGAAGTTCTAGACAGATACCCAAGAGAACTGAACATGTGTCCATGTAAAAATGTGTACAGAGGCCTGGAGAGATGGCTCAGCAGTTAAGAGCACTTGCTGCTCTTCCAAAGGACCCTGGTTTGGTTCTTAAACCCCCACATTTGGAGGTGCACAACTGCCTGTAACTCCAGCTCCAGGGTATCTGTTGCCCTCTTCTGGCCTCAGTGAGAACCTGCATCCATGTGTACACATGCCCACATTCAGACACACACATCTACACATTTAAAAAATAAATAAAACTTGTGCAAGCTGGCTCAGTGGCTCACACCTGGAGTCCTAGTGCTCAGGAAGGTAAGGATGAAGAATTAGGACTTTAAGATCATCCTTGACTATGTATCAAATTCTAGACTAACCTAAGCTATGTGAGACCCTGTGTCAAAAGCAAACATAAAACCTAGGGACAGGGCTGGAGAGATGGCTCAAAGGTTAAGAGCACGGACTGTTCTTCCCAAGGTCCTGAGTTCAATTCCCAGCAACCACATGATGGCTCATAACCATCTATAATGAGATCTGGTGCCCTCTTCTGACCTGCAGGGATACATGCAGGCAGAATACTGTATACATAATAAATAAATGAGTGAATGAATAAATAAATAAATAAATAAAACCTAGGAACAAAAACTACCCAGAGCCTGGCGGTGGTGGCGCACGCCTTTAATCCCAGCACTCGGGAGAAACCCTGTCTCAAAAAATCAAAAAAAAACAAAAACCAAAAAACACAAACAAAAAACTACCCAGATACTCACAGTAGCATTACTTACTCATCAGCTCTGACAGATGGAAAAGATACCTGATTAGGAAGTGAACAAGAAAATGTGGTCACGGTGTGGAACATGACTCAGCCCTGAAAAAGACTTGAGTCATGCGCTCACTCTGCCCCATAGGTGTTCATCATGAGTGAGAGTAGGCCAGACATGGAAGGCCACATACTGTGTGGCTCCCATGTATCTGAGGTTTCCGGATTGGGCAGATCCAGGACAGAATGTAGATGGGTGGGTCGGGCTAGGGCAGTGGTGAATGGCTAACGGGCACACACAGGGTTTCTTTGGAGATGAGGGAAAACTTCTGGAATTAGACAGTGGTGGTGGTTGCATACCTCAGAATATTCTGAAAATCCCTGGACTTTATTCTTTGAAGGGTAGATGTTATGGTCTGTGAATTACATATGGATGATGTTAACATTTATTTATTGTGTCGTACACTCGAACGTGCCACAGTGTGTAGAGGTCAGGGGACAACATTCTCTTCCTTCTGCCGTGAGGTGGGCCCAGGGGACTTTTCTAGGAGATGATTGGCAGAATCATTAAGGATAAAGGAGGAGGGGGAATGCGTTCCTGGCAGAAAGAAACATCTGTGCAAAGGCCCTGTGGCAGGGGGAGCCTCAGGGACATCAAGAAGGCACCCAGGTGAATGAAGGTGGCTGGTATGCAGTGTAGGGGAGTAAATGTGCTGTTCAGGTGGAGCTTGGGGCCAGGCCTGCAGGCTCCTAAAGCAGAGGAGTTTGTGCATCTGAGGGTTTGGCAGGTGCTGTGTGTGTGCACATGAGTGCCTCCCAACAGGAGGCAGGGTATCCCAGGAGTTTATGGCCTCATATAGAAAAGAAGGACTACCTGGAATATGGTGGCGCATGCCTTTAATCCCAGCACTCGGGAGGCAGAGGCAGGTGGATCTCTGTGAGTTCGAGGCCAGTCTGGTCTCCAGAGCGAGTGCCAGGACAGGCTCCAAAGCTACCCAGAGAAACCCTGTCTCGAAAAACAAAAACAAAACAAAAAAAGAAGGGAAGGATTGAGCCCCCAGCATAGTCACCCTGGAGAGGGAGAGACTGTCTAGGTAGTGAGACATTGTCCTCACTTATGTCTCTCAGGAAGAGCTAGTGACCAGGGCTTCCAGCAAGACGTACATTTGAGAGGTGACCCTTGAGGCAGTGGGTGACAGAAAAGGGAAAGGTGAACAGGAGGCCTGGTGACAAGGCCACACCCCAAGCTGAGGACACTTAACCCTGCTGGGGCTGCTCAGAAGTACACAGGACCTCTCAGAGCTGCCTTTCCTTGGGGTGACACTGGGGACATTTATGTACTAGTTCCTACCCCGGAGTGGCTAAAGGCCACATGCCATTTAAGCCTCACATGCTCTGAAGATGAGAACAAGAAGACAGAGGCAGGCAGTGAGCACTGGAGGTCTACCTGTCTGTGCGACAGAGCTGTCAGGAGGCCCAGGGCCAGGGGGCAGATGCAGTGTGTCTGACACAGACAATTCCCAGGTGGAGCTTGGGTCCCCCAAAATGGGCTTGTCATGCCAACAGCTGGCAGAGCTTCCAAGGTGCAGTTTTTCTGCAGCTGGTGGGGGTGGGGGTATGGGATCAGGGGAGAGACACTGGAGCTTCCATAGGTTGAAAGTGAGACAGAGTCCCCAGTGGACACAGGAACAGTCAGGGCTTGCATTTTCTTTCCCTGGGTGTACACGAATAGTTTAAAATGGACATGCCTCATTAGTCACCCAGCAAAGCAGGTGAACTTACAGGCAGCCAACTTCCAGTCTTTGCCAAGCCAATGAACCTGGGCCAACTGCTTCTGAAGGGCTAGAATCAGGGGAGAGAAGTAAGGAAGAAGCTATCTTTAGAGGGACAGGGTTAGGGCCTGATTAAAGTGTATGGTGTCATGAAGTCAACTTACATGTTGAAGGAGAGAGAGAAAGGTGCATTGGCTGTGTGACTGACTGAAGCTTGATGGTCAGGAAAGCTTCAGGTACAGCTGGTTCCAGGTGTTTAGAGGATGGTAGCAGGAATTCTGACTCGGGCCTTTTTGGTTTTGTTGCCTCTAAGTTGGTATCCATTCTCGGGTGGGCTCTGGCTACCACATGGTCCCTGATAGGAACCTGCTGAATGACTCCCCAAGAGTCCCAGAAGAAGTCTTCAGGCTGGCTAGTCACTGAGTCAGGCCTCTGTGGAGAGGCCTAAAGATAGGTACTGCGCCCTCCAGAGTCCCTGGCTGCTGTCAAGGGGTCCACAAGCCAGGTGGACACCAAGCGGAACTCTGGAGATTTAGGGGAAAGTACAGGGGTGTGGGCTGGTAGGCCAGGGTCACAGCTGCCCCTCTGGAGCCGACACAGGCTCTGAGCTGCAGCAGAAATGCATGGGGGTCCCTTGACACAGCTTCTGCAAGTGTGATGAGCCTGGGGTTTTACAGAGAACAGTATGAAGGGGAAGTGAGGTGTGGCAGGCACCAATGACCTAGCAGTAATACAGGCCTGAAGTCAAAGTCTGGGCCAGAGCCACAGCAGGGTGAAGGCACATGCCCAAGACAGAGCCACTAGGCCACAATTGGGGGTACCTATGTCACATTTTTGCCCCAGGAACTCAGGCCTCTCTCCTTCTGCCAAGATAGGGCTGGTCTAAACCTGGGTACCCAAGGGCATCACCCTAGGAACCATGTGATTCCCGGCCCTGTTCCAGGTCCCTCCCTTAAGGAGGATAGGGACATTTTGCACCAACTGGTCACACGAGCTGGTTTTGCCTTCCGTTTCTGGCAGCTGAAGACTTGAGAAGAAAGGAAGAGAAGGGCTGGGAGATGGCTTTCGATAAAGTGCTTGCCCTGCAGACACAAGGACTTTAGTTTGGAGACCTGAATTTGGATCCCCAGCACCAACAAACAAAAGCCAGATGGGGCTTATGCCTATAATACTAGCACTGTGGAGGGGCCGAGACAGGGGTGTCTCAGCACCTCCACAGCCAGCCAGTCTAGCAGAATTGCCGAGCTAAACAAGTGGAGAGCAATGGAGGAAGCCATCTGATGTCAACATCTGGCCTCTGTGTGCATACAAATAGAAAAATAGAAAGAAATGGGGTGTAAAATCAAGGCTGTCCATGTTCTAGATCACTCTGCCAGGTTGGCCTCAGAGTTGTGTGAAGTCCAGGGTGCTTGTCAATCAAACAGGAGTGCATCAGGATTGCATGAGACCTAGGGCTTCTGGGAGATGAGGGGGACAGTCCTGAGCCAGTGGTTCAGGCTCTTGTGCAGCCCATGTAGAGGAATGTGGGCATTAGGAGAGGGGACAGGGGAGTGGGGAAGCATGGCCAGCTGGCCCTCATACATCTAGAAGGTTCTCTGAAGCACTCAGTGGCAGAGTGCTTGCCCTGCATGGGGAGGAGGGAGGTGGGGACAGGTCGGTGGGCAGGTTTCCAGTGGAATGTGGAGCAAGCTATTCCAGGCAGGGAACAGCCGGGAACCAGGCTGGGGAATGCAGCATGTGGCTGGACGCAGTTCAGTCCTGGGGCGGGGCTGGAGGAGGGAGATGGGAGCTATAGAGGAATTTGGAGCTGGAGAGGAAGCCCTTTTTTGTTTTTTCATTTTTGCTAGTTTCCTGAGAGTAGATCTCTCTACATAGTCTGGACTGTCCTGGAACTCACTATGTAGACCAGGCTAGCCAGTCTGGGCTACATAGAGAGACTGGTAGCTGGGTTGAACCAGGGTTTAGATGCTGGGTCCTAGTTCTGGGATGCTTTGAACTATGATCACCAGGCTCCAGTGATCCCACAGGGGAGCCTTCCCAGGAGGCCAGGCCTCAGGCTAGAAGCTCTGACCTGTAATGGTCTCCTGGGGCCTCCAGGCATCTACTGGCACCTGTGCCCAGAGAGCCTCCTGGGAGCTGTTTATCTGAGATAACCTGAGCCACCCTACAGTCCCTTGTGGAATGAGCCTAGAAGGGCCTCTGATTGGCTTGATGACCATATTGGAAGGAACAGCTTCAAACTTACCAGCTGGAACAGACCTTACTCAGGCTGTTCACTGGCTATAGTCATGGCTGATAGAACCCCAGTTCTCCCCATACTCTAGGCATGAATACTCAGAGGCAAAGCTACCACACCCCTGGCTAAGACTCACCTAAGCTCTAGGGGGATTAATGCTTATTGTCACAAAGAGCCGACCCTGCTTTGTTTTTTTGTTTTTTTGGTTTTTTTTAGATTTATTTATTTATCATGCATTCACTGCGTGCCAGAAGAGGGCACCAGATCACATTACAGATGGCTGTGAGCCACCATGTGGTTGCTGGGAATTGAACTCAGAATCTCTGGAAGAACAGTCAGTGCTCTTAACCGCTGAGCCATCTCTCCAGCCCTCCCTAGGTTCCCCCCCCCAAGATATTTATTTAATGTGTGTGGCTGTTTTATTCATGTATCTCTACATATCAGAAGAAGGCATCAGATCCCATGGGGCTACAGTTATAGACAGTCGTGGGCTGTCATGTTGGATGCTGGGAATTGAACTCAGGACCTCCAGAACAACCAGTGCTCTTAACCTCTGAGCCATCTCTCCAGCCACTGCTGGGAAGCGGGGGACCCTGTGTGTCAAGGTGGGTTTGCAGGGGGGTGCACCCTATTCCTTTAGTCCCAGCACTCGGGTGGCAGAGGCAGGTGGATCTCTGTGAGTTCAAGGCCAGCCTGGTCTACACAGTGAGTTTCAGGACAACCATGGCAACACAAAGAAACCCTGTTTTGAAAAACAAAACAGAAACAAACAAAAAGAACTATTCCTAAGTCCACGGGGCATGATGGTATGTATTCACTTGTAAACCTAGCACTGGTGATGCCGAGGCGGGAGGATTTGGAGTTTGAATCTCCAGATCTTAAAACGGTTGACAGCTAATTCAGTAGACGTGGCACAGCAAGGGTCTAAACAAATGTAGGGAACACTGTGCAAACCTAGGGGCTCTAGTTTGCAACCTTTGGCCTGTGCCTCTGGTGCTGAGGGTTGGTGGAAAACTCCTACACATCCATGAGCCCCCAATCATAGGGAGCACTGCATAGGGAGCACCTCCCTCCGTCCTCACTTACTGGTGTATTTGTGTGTGTCTCTCTTGATCCTGCTGTTCAATTCGAGTCTGTTTCCAGTTCTGAATTCAATGACCGTAAGGCATGGAGTGCTTAGTAAAATGCTGGATGTCCTTTAATGGAGGACGCTGTTTGGGGAGGTGTCTGGCCCTGATGGTGTGGCCTCAGCGGTCACAGGTAATACTAGAGGTTTGCCTCACAGGAGAATATTACACAACCATCAAAAGGAATGAGGCTTTGACACAGGCTGTAACAGGCTGGCCCAAGAAGTCAAACCCTGTGGGGTAGCCTCACCAGGAGAAGATCTCCAGATGCTGAGTAGCCTGCAGGGACACAGGCATCATGTTTCTTCTCCTACTGCCCACCTCTTCTGCAGTGGCTCTGGCTTCAACTGTAGGCGTGGGCAGAGCCCTCCCCGCCCATCTTGACCTTCCCTGGAGCTCAGCTGACCTGCCCGGCAGACGGTGTCTCCTTTCAGATGTCCCTTCCCTGGAACAGCCTGTCCAGCTCAGCCTCCTGGAGCCCTTGGCTGCTCGGCCATGTTCCACTGCCCTATCTAGAGTCCCCTTCACCCTGTGGGGGTTGAGGGGCAGGGCAAGGGTGTGTTGTCCAACTCTGCCTTCTCATTCTAGAGCATCCTGACTTTGGTGTATATGGACACTGAAGGCTCTTGGGTGTGAGACACTGAAATGAAGAAATGGACCTCTTGGAATTTGGCATGCTGGCTTGGGGCAGGGGATTGGGGAGCTTGTGCTGGCATATGCAAGGTCCCAGTATCCCAAGTGTTAGGAAAGGGTAGGGGAGGGAGAGAAAGGGGTGTTCAGTGGCACACACCTGTTATCCCAGCATTCCAGAGGCTGAGGCAGGAAGATTGATGTGGGTTCCAGCCAGGCTGGGCTACAGAATGAGAACCTGTCTCTGAAAAGAAGATAATGAGCTGACCTCAGCAGAGTGGTGGTGGCGCATGCCTTTAATCCCAGCACTCTGGAGGTAGAGGCAGGTGGTTCTCTGTGAGTTCAAGACCAGCCTGGTCTACAAGATCTAGTTCCAGGACAGCCTCCAAAGCCACAGAGAAACCCTGGACCAACCACTTAGGGTTACTATCACTGTGATGGATCACAGTGACCAAAACTACTTCAGGAGGAAACGGTTTATTTGGCTTACACTTCCATATCACCGTTCATCACTGAAGGAAGTCAGGGCAGGAACCTGGAGGCAGGAGCTGATACAGAGGCCATGAGGGGTGCTGCTTACTGGCTTGCTCCCCATGGCTTGCTCAGCCTGCTTTCTTACAGAACCCAGCACAACCAGCCCATGGATGGCACTACCCACAATGGACTGGACCCTCCTCATCAATCACTAAGAAAATGTCCTACAGCTGAATTTTACAGAGGAATTTTCTCAATTGAGGTTCCCTTCTTTTAGATGACTCTAGCTTGTGTCCAGTTGGCCTAAAATTAGCCATGACAGCTGGTATGATGTCTCAGAAGGCAAAGGTACTTGCTGCCAAGCCTGACCACTGGAGCTTGGTACCCAGGACCCACATGGTCAAAAGAAAGAACTGACTCCCCAAAAGTTGCCCTTTGATCACCATATACTCTCTGTAGAACACTCATAAATGCAAACAATAGATGAGTAAACAAATAAACAGAAAGAGACAAGTGTTGTGTAGATGATGGAAAACTGGGGCCCTTAGTATGGCTGTTGAGAGCATAAAACAGTGCATTTGCTGTGAGAAGCACTTTGGTATAGAAAAGAGAACACAGGCCGGGCAGTGGAGGCACAGACCTTCAATCCCAGGGAAGCAGAGGAGGATCTCTGTGAGTTCTAGACCAGCCTGGTCTACAGAGTGACTTCCTGGACATCCAAGGTTACACAGAGAAACCCTGTCTTGAAAAACCAAAAAGAAGAAGGAGGAGGAGGAGGAGGAGGAGGAGGAGGAGGAGGAGGAAGAAGACGAAGAAGAAGAAGAAGAAGAAGAAGAAGAAGAAGAAGAAAGAAAATAGAGCTCAGAAAGTTAAAGACAGTCTCATGATAGCTACCCCACCAGGACTGGACACTGGGATTTATACCCAAAGAGAAGAAGCCACCTACGTGTCCTTCATCCCAGACAGGACCATGCATACCTTCCATGCTGTGGATTATTACCCACCTGTTAAAAGGGATGAGTCTCTGACACAGGCTGTAACATGGACGAGACATAAGGTTGACTAGAAGAAGCAGATGCTTTATGGGAAATGTCCAGGTCGGGAGAGACAAGAAAGCAGGCTTCCTGCAGGGCCTGAGACTCAAAGAGGGAGGAGTGGCAAATGGTTGCTTACTGAGTTGGGATGTTTCCTGTGGATGATGTTTGGGAATTAGCGGTATTAAATATTGTGTTACTGTATGAAATTATTCTTTTCTTTCTTTTTTTTTTTTTTTTTTTGAGACAAGGTCTCACACTGTATCCACATGACCTCAAACTCACTGTGTGGCCCAGATTGACTTGAAACTCACTGCACAGCTCAGGTTGGCCTTGAACTCCAGGCACGGCACCCGTCCTGCCTCAGCCACCCACGTGACAGGATTAGAGTCATGCACCACCACACGCAGCTAATATACTTTAAAATAGTAAACTCTGTGTGAAAGGCTGCCAGGCTCTGGAAGGAGGTGAGAGGAGGATAAGTTGTGATCTGAAGCAGGGCAGGTGATGCAGAATGATACTGCGATCTGTCTGTGTGACCTGCAATACAGACAGCTCTATCCCCCTGTCAGGCTCTGAATGCCAGCAAGATGGCAAGAGCCCCTGAGGATTTGATCGGGGGGCCTGTCACAGAAAGCAACAGGACTTCTTGTTAAGTGAAAATGGTACCGAGGAGTCTCAGCTGTACTTCCACACACCTTGACCAAATTAGCAGAGTCCTGAGTGACAGTATGGGAGGGGATCACAGAGGAGGAAGAACAACAGTTGGTGGAGGGCGGCAGCCAGAGGCATAGTGGGAGGCTCGCCTGAGTGGAGCCTGATAGGACCCTGAGTGGAGTGGGAGTCCAGGGCGCAGGGCTGGCTCAGCAAAGGAGCTTGCTGCACAGGTGGTGGCTGCCTTCCACCTCCAGAGGGAAGCGTTATAGAAGATAAGGGGAGGCTGCTGCCCACACACTGAAAATAGTGACCTGAGCAGGCCGCCTACCATAGGGAGGTGAGGAGGCCCTTGACAGCCCATCTCTGCCTTCTTCAGATACAGCTGCAGGCAGATGGAGAGGAGTGCCTCTCAGACTCAGAGAAGGCTGCCCTGGATCTCAAGGACCCCAACCGCCCTCGGTTCACGCTGCAGGAGCTGCGGGATGTGCTGCACGAGAGGAATGAGCTGAAGTCCAAGGTATTCCTGCTGCAAGAGGAGCTGGCCTACTATAAGAGGTGAGGGTGCCGGGCGGTGGTGGTGGCACACGCCTTTTATCCCAGCACTCTCGAGGCAAAGGCAGGTGGATCTCTGTGAGTTCGAGACCAGCTTGGTCTACAAGAGCTAGTTCCAGGACAGAGAAACCCTGTCTCCAAAAACCAGGGGGAAAAAAAAAAAGGCGAGGCCAGGCATCATGGAACAAACTAACCCCTGCCTGACCTTAGTGGCCACACCCCAAACCCAGGCACATCAGTGCAGCAGTCAAGCACTCCTATAGATGCTATAGAAGTCATACAGCCACCAAGCAGGCCATTGCACATCTTGCCAAGTACGTTAGATGTCTGCTAGAGGGCCTGAGGAGATAGATGACTCCATCAGTGAAGAGTTTACACTGCAAGCAGGAGGACCTGAATTTAGGTCCCCAGACATTTGCCGTGGTTCTCGCCTGTTAGTCCAGCCCTGGGGAGGGAGAGACAAGTGGGTCCCTAGTATAGGCTAGCAACCAGCCTAGCCAAATCCCTGAGCTCAAGAATCCGTGAGAGAGACCTTGTCTCAAAAAATAAAAGAGGGAGTGGATGTTGTAATTTAAGAAAAGGCTTGAGAAAGATGCCATGAGACAGGGTTCAAGCAGAGGGATTTTTTTTGTTTTTGTTTTGTTTTTTAATTAGGGAAAGGGATGATATAAAGGGGAAAGGGGAGGGGGGAGACCAGCCTCTGGGGACAGAAGCAGCAGGAGAGGGGAAAGAGGGGCAGAGAGACAGAGACCAAGGGAGAGAAAGAGGGACAGAAAGGAAGAGAAGGATAGGAGGTGGGTAGGACCCTTTTAAAAGGGAAAATGGTGAATGTGCACAGGTGGTGCTCTTAGTATCTGCAGCTGAGGGCATATCCTGTCAGAACCCCAAGGACAGGCCAGTACAGAAAGCCTGAATACTAACAATAGAGAGATGGCTCAGTGGGAAAGATTGCTCTGACAGAGGATCCAGGTTCAGTTCCTGGCATCTGTACCAGGCAGCTCACACCACCTGTGTGTAACTCCAGCTCGAAAAATCTATTGCCCTTTTGCTTCAAGCACCTGCGCTCGTGCTCTCTTTCCCTCTCCGTCTCCTCCCTCTCCCTCTGTCTCTGTCTCTCTCACAGTCACACTCAAACACACACACAAGAATAAGCCAGAGGCGGGGGCTGGAGAGATGGCTCAGAGGTTAAGAGCACTGGCTGTTCTTCCAGAGGTCCGGCGTTCAATTCCCAGCAACCACATGGTGGCTCACAACCATCTGTAATGAGATCTGGTGCCCTCTTCTGATGTGCAGATATACACGGAAGCAGAATGTTGTATACATAATAAATAAATAAAATCTTAAAAAAAAAGAATAAGCCAGAGGCAGGGTGGTAGGGGTGCATGCCTTTAATCCTAGCACTTTGGGAGGCAGAGACAGGCAGATCTCTGTGAGTCTGATGCTAGCTTGAGCTACAGAACTAGGTACAGGACAGTCACGGCTACACAGAGAAACCCTATTTAGAAAAACAAACTTTAAAAGGAGTAAGAATAATAAAGAAAATACACACTGGGTGAAGGGAAGCAGGGAGAATAAACAGTGTGCTAGATGCAGCCCCAGCCCCACTGGGGACAGTGACATACACAGAAAGTAGGGCCATGAGTTTTTGAGTGTTCATGTCTAGTGACAGCCCTCTGTGGGCCTGGTGCAGGTATAGTGCCCCTGAGTGTTCAGAGGGGGAGCGTTAGCTCTGGAGAAACAGAGGAGTTAGAAGGCTTCCTAGTGGAGGAGGCCTGGGAAGAAGGCCTTCCTTCCAGGTGCTCTAGAGCTCAGGTGTGGGTGTCATTGAGGGTCAGCTGCTTCCTGCAGACGGGAGAAGTCCAGGCACGGAATCAGAAGCATTTTGTGGAGACAGGAAATGGGAGCTGTTGTGTTGGGCTGAAAATAGAGTGCAGTGGCACACATCTGTCATCCTAGTGCTCGAGTGACTGAGGCAGGAGGATGGCGAGTCTGAGGTCAGTCTAGGATAGTAAAACACAATCTCAAAACAGAGGATTGAGGCTGGGCGTTGGTGGCGCATGCCTTTAATCCCAGCCCTCAGGAGGCAGAACAAATTGTGTTTTAGCTTCTACATCTGTGCAGTGGCTTGCATGTGCTCACATGCATGTGCTCCTAAACACCTGTAAAAAAAAAAAAAAAAAAAAAAAAAAAAAAAAAAAAAAAAAAAAAAAAAACCCAGAGGATTGAGAATGTTGGGGCCCTGTGTTGTGTGCAGGACTTTAATCCCAGCACTTGTGAGGCAGAGACAGATCTACAGGAGTTCGAGTTCGAGGCCAGCCTGGTGTACAGAGCAAGTGCCAGGGCAGGCTCCAAAGCTACACAGAAACCTTGTATTGAGAGAGAGAGAGAGAGAGAGAGAGAGAGAGAATGTTGGGACACACCTAAAATCCCAGAATTTGGGTGGTGGAGACTAGAGTAGTGGTTCTCAACCCATGGGTCTTGACCCTTGGCATACCTCACAACAGTAGCAAAACCACAGCTATGAAGTAGCAAGGAAATAATTTTATGGTTGGGGTCACCACAGCATGAGGGTCGTGGCATTAAGAAGGTTGAAAAGCACTGATCTAGAGGATGGGGAGGTCAGAAGATGGAGGTCTGGAGATGGCGGAGGTCCAAGCATGAATTCAGGACTCGGATCTTCAGAAGCCGTGTACATGCTGGTATTGTGTATAACCCACCTGTTATTGTTTCAGCAGATCCCCAGAGCAAGCTGGCTAGCAGGACGAGCCTTAGCTAAGAGCTCTGGGTTTGATTGAGATACCCTGCCTCAAAGAATAAGGTGGGAATGGGTAGAAGATGGTCCCCCTCCTGGGCCTCACAGGAGTGCACACACACACATGCTTGTGCATTCAGGAATTAATACATATTTATAGGTATGCATACCATTTAAACACCATGCACATCAAAAGGAGGGGGACAAAGAGAAAGAGAGGACAGAGGGAGGAAGGACCTAGTACTTGTTCTGAACACCTCCCCTGGGCCAGAGGGACCACAGACTTACCCTTCCAGACCACCAGGCAGAGTGTGCCGGCAGAAACCCTGGTTGGCATCTTCCCGGGTACCTTACTCCCCATCAAGAAGTTTTGCACCATATCAAACCATTCTACCCGCTTTGGGGATGTTCCAGTTCTGACAGAATTGTTTTGACTCCTGTATTGCATGCCTTCAGTGAAGAAATAGAAGAGGAGAATCGAATACCCCAACCTCCGCCCATCATACACCCAAGAACGTCCCCCCAGCCGGAGTCTGGAATCAAGCGACTGTAAGTGTTGTGCTTGCCCCCTGGGCTGTGCCGCCTGTGGCTCATCTGGGTTCCTGACACCACTGAGAGGTCTTGGGCACTTTTCAGGATTGTCCCTAACCACAGCAGCTGAGACCAGCTTCTTCCAACACTGTGGCTTGCCCTTCCAGTTTTGGTTATCTCCCTGCTTGGACTTGGAACACCAGTTCTTGGGGTCACTGGGCAGATATTTGGGTAGCAGCACCTGGGAGGCTGGGAGGGGCTGGGGCCTGTGGCTGGTGCTCAGGAGCTTGCTTGCGTGTGCCAAGTGCATGGGATGTGGTTCTGGGTGGGGCGGTTGGAGGCTCAGGCATTTTCAGAGCTTGAGACATCAGCTTTAAGTAGCTAGGTGTAAGGGCCCATGCTTGTATCCCAGCATACAGGAGGTGGAGATGGGAGGATCAGAAGTTCAAGGTCATCCTTGGCTACATAGTAAGTAGCCAAGACCAGCCTGGACTACATAAGATCTTAAAAAAAAAAAAAAAAAAAAGAAAGTCCGGAGTGGCCTAGGTCCAACCCATTCTGGGTTTTATGATGGTAAATCCCCTGAGCTTTTGTGTGTACATTGGTACATTGGTGTCATGTATACGAAGACTCAGGTCCTGTTTGCTATAAGGCCCGTGCAAAAGATAGCACATAGCTCCTGTGGTCAGCTAGACCTTTAACTTCTCTGGGAGTGCTTGGCTTTGTAGATCTCCTTGGTTCTTGTGGAAGTTTGCAGACATGTTCCTTGGAAAAGAACAGAGGGTATTGGAATGGTGTCCAATTTAGAAGATCTGTGGGCCCTGAAGCCTGACAGAAGAAGGGCTGAGTTTTGGACTTGTCAGGTTCCATCTTGTGCCCATCAAGAGCCTACTGTGGGCCAGCTCCTGTCCCTCAGATGGGTTTGTGGGGGCCTCACCCTGGTGCTAGTATGTGGAAGACTCTTTTTTTTTGTTTTGTTTTGTTTTGTTTTTCGAGACAGGGATTCTCTGTGTAGCTCTAGCTGTCCTGGAACTGTAGATCAGGCTGGTTTCATAATCACAGAGATCCACCAGCCTCTGCCTCTTTTGTGCTGGGATTAAAGGTGTGTGCCACCACCACCAGGTGGAAGACTGTCATTTTTATGGAACCTTTGAGGCAACTGAGACACCTGACTGTGGCCATGCCCCTATAAGAGGCAGAGCCCACCCAGAGTACTGTATTCAAATCTTCTATAGACCCACCTCAGGTGTCTGGGATGTCACAGCCTGAAAGGGGCTCCCTGGAGCTGGACCTTTTGGATATTCCTACAGAAGAGGCCTGGGGCCTCTCCCCAGACCCACCAGAAAGCTTTGAAAGAGCAGGCAGCATAGGGATGGGGGTGGAAGTGGGTGCTACCCATACATTCTGTCCTTTAAACGCCAGTGACCATGCTGGGAAATTGTTGGCTAGTTCATAGCAGATGGAATGTGGGCTGGTTTGTGTGGTGGGACCCACTCCCTCAGCAGGTGGCATCCCACTCACACTGGGCCCTGGGCGCTCCAACGTTGAGGAAGCTCCCTGGAGTGCTGTTGTATACTGCAGTGCCCCTGTGAGCTGGCCAACCTGGCGCTACCTCCCTGCTGAGTTTTGGAGTTCTTCTAAGAGAGATATAAATACTTCTGAGGCTCTGATTCCGAAAAGCTTCCCCTGAAGTCTCAGCACTGTTTTGACCGTGGGTTTGTTTCCATCTGCCATCAAAACTCCACTTAGTGGAGAGAAGACACTGTCTTAAGTCCAGGCTCTCCAGCCTGGTCCAGCATTGGGCTTGACTGTCTCCTGACTCTGTCCCAAACCATGCTCCTGCAAACTCAGACCCTGAGTGTGGATGGGGTAGCCACATCAGCCTTGGATTCTGTTTTCCCTAGGTGTGGTAGCTCACATCTGTAACTCCAGCATTTGGGAGGCTGAGGCAGGACTGCCACTAGTTTGAGAGACACCTAGATTACAGATTTGGACCATGTCTTTGAACAAAACAAAACAAAAAAAACAGCAAAACAGGATTCCTTTTTCTTCTCTCTGTAGCTCTAGAAAAAATGAAAAAGCAGGTGACTTTTGAGCCTGTTGTGCTGGTAGACCACTCACAAGGTAAAGGTGGGACCATTGTGAATTTGAGTCCAGTAAAACTTGGTGTTAAAAAAAAAAAAAAAAAAAAGAGCCGGATATTGGTGGCGCATGCCTTTAATCCCAGCACTCAGGAAGTAGAGGCAGGCGGATCTCTGTGAGTTCCACGCCAGCCTGGTCTCCAGAGAGAGTGCCAGGATAGGCTCCAAAGCTACACAGAGAAACCCTGTCTCAAAAAAAAAACCCTTGTCCAAAAAAAAAAAAAAAAAAAAAAAAAAAAGAAGAAGAAGAAAGAAAAAGAAAAGAAACAGATGCCAGAGAGATGGTTTAGGAAATAAAAAGCCTAAGGACCTAAGTTCAATTCCCCAGAACCCACATAAAAGTGGACAGAAGAACTGACTCCTCCAAATCAGTTTTCTGACCTCTAGACACACTGCTCACATCACACACACACACACACACACACACACACACACACACACACACACACAATTTCTTTCCTCCCAAGACAGGGTTTCTCTGTGTAACCCTAGAACTTGCTCTGTAGACCAGGCTGGCCTCAAACTCAGATCTGCCTCTGCCACCTGATTGCTGGGATTAAAGGTGTGCACCACCACTGCCCAGCACAAATAAGTGAAGTTACTCTTTTCCAGTCTCAAATTGGGTAAAATCCAGAATATAATGATGCTGCTTCAGCACGTAACCTGGCCACAGCATCTGCAGCTCTCTCCCAGGTGGCCCCATTCCCAAAGCCCCTTCCACTTTTGCTTTGCCTCCAGTTGCTTGGCAACACCTGGTGTTCTGAGTCTCACAGTGTTATCATCTCCAAAAGATAAGAATGAAGACAGAGCCAGGCGTTGGTGGCGCACACCTTTAATCCCAGCACTCGGGAGGCAGAGGCAGGAGGATCTCTGTGAGTTCGAGGCCAGCCTGGTCTCCAGAGCGAGTGCCAGGATAGGCTCCAAAGCTACACAGAGAAACCCTGTCTCAGGAAAAAAAAAAAAAGAATGAAGACAGAGGGAGGCCACACTTCCTGTCTGTGCTACACAGGTGGCCAGTTCTATGGCAGCCAGCTTTCTGGGGGTGGTGACAGGAGCAGCCATCGAGCACAAAGGGCTTTTGACCAGCACAGGGACAACACTGGTATCTTTGTCCTCCTCGACTGCTGACCAGGATCTGTGGCCTGTGACAGTTTTCATTGGGAGGCCCTGGTAGAGCCCTTCTTATTATTTCTGCTTCTGTCCTTTCATCCTCTCCATTGGCCTGTGTTTGACCTGCAGCTGTGGGCCCTTGATCCCAGCCCACCTCTGTCACCCAACAGGTGATAGAGAACCTCTGGGTATAGTTGAAGGGAATCCACACTTGAGTGTGGTAAGAGTCTCGGAGCTGGGACACTTATCCCCCTTTCTCAGATGAGGAACTGAGGCCCAAGGATACCACCTACTTCATTCAAATCTGTACAATTGGGAGGACTCAAAGCTGGGCTTCTGAACTCGGCCTTTTGTCCATACAACCCCCTTCCCTACCTCTCCCTTCCTCTCTCACACCCTCATGTCCCAGCTAGTGGCTGGCTGCCCAGGTCCCCTTATCTCTCAAATGCACCGAGTCCAAGACGTCAGACATTTCTGGGCTGGGCACAACAAGGGAACCAGAACCTCCCACTGCCAGTCAAAACAGTGAGTCTGAAGATGGTCCAAGAATAGCTTGTGACTGTGAGGCCACTGGCCTGAGAGGACAGGTTGGCACAGCCCATGGAGGTCACAGGGAGCCTCAAGTGACTTCAGTCTTGTCCCCAGCAAACCCTAAACACCATTGTCCCTTTTGTGTGGTCCCCACTTCAGAGTCAATCCCACACATGCAGAGGATGGCTTTCCGCTGGCCAGAGCCTCAAGGGGGTATCTGGAGAGGGACGGGAAGCAGCAGCTGGCCTTAGGGACCGGAAAGGCTGACCTTAGAGTATGCTCCACCTCTGTGCCTGGCCTTCTACCCCTACACCCCTCCTTAGCCAAGAATAGTTTCTATGAAGCTACCCATGAAATGCCACGAGTTAGCACTTCGTTTGGTTTGAACCTTCCAAAAACACCCAGCAGGGATGGAGGCATTAAAACCATGACCATAATTTAAGACGCAGTTTTGGCCCTTTCTTATCAAACTTGGGGGGGTTCATAGTCTGTGCCCCAACAAGCTAGGTTCAGCCACCTGTCTGCCACTAAACCACTTACAAGAGCCAAATTAATAATGAAAAGCAGGAAAGGGGGCTGAAGAGATGGCTCAGAGGTTAAGAGCACTGGCTGCTCTTCCAGAGGTCCTGAGTTCAATTCCCAGGAACCACATGGTGGCTCACAACCATCTATAATAAGATCTGGTGCCTTCTTCTGGTGTACAGGCAGAACACTATTCACATAATAAATAAATAAATCTTTAAAAAAAAGAAGAAAAGCAGAAAAAGGAAGATTTGTTCATTGTGGCAATATTGAGATTACATACACAGACATAGACATAGACATAGACACACACCACAGATACACACACACATACATCTTCAGGGTAAGGTTTAAATAGAAGGTTAGAAGGTGACAGATAGGGGGAGCAGAAAGGAGATGGGATAGGGGGTTGGTGTGGGGCAGGAGAGGAGGGGAGGAAGAGGGAACTGGGATTGACATGTAAAATGGGGAAGAGGGGGGGGAGAGGGAAGTGGGATTGAAATGTAAAACAAGCTTGTTTCTAATTTAAATTTAAAAAAAAAAAAGGAGGTAACAGACAGGCACACCTGAGCAGTCCTAGCCGTGGTGTGACCCTCCCGTACTGGCCCATCCTGCACTTCAGTTTCACACTGTAAGGTGGTCAACTTTGTAAATCTCTGGAGATAAGTATTCGCTTCCTGGGGAAATTCCCATTCCCTGTTTTAAGAGTCTGATGGTCAGAGTAAAAGACAAGTGTCTTCTTGGGCAGTGGTGGCATAAGCCTTTAATCCCATGTCCCATGCCGGTGATGTTAACAAATTTCCCGGGTTTCGGCACCAGATGTCCCGCGCGCTATGTTCTCGCCGGCAAGAATCACGCAGGACACTCGGATCCTTCTGCAGGAAAGCTTTAATGCATCTTGAGAGTGGGAGAGCATAAGCTTACCAGAGCGGAGACCCCGAGCCAAGAATCCCATCCCCTAATAAAGGCTGGCAGCGGCCACCTGGGACGTGTCACCCTATGAATGGCTTCAGCTCCTCAGACCATATGAGCCACGGGATAGGCAGAGATCAAAGAAATGGAGAATTACCCAGCGCCTGCGAAATAATTTACATTCAGTGCCTGCAGGCACCATCATTGTAATGGAGAATGCAGGGACGGCTCCCTACAATCCCAGAACTAAGAAGGCAGAGGCAGGCAGATCTCTGTGAATGTGAGGCCAGCCTGGTCTACAGAGTGAGTTCCAGGACAGCCTCCAAAGCTACAGAGGAAACCCCTGTCTCAAAAAACAAAGCAAAGAAAAAAGAAAGACAAGTGTCTCTTTAAAATATCTTCATTATGGGGCTGGAGAGATGGATCAGCAGTTAAGAGCACTGACTGCTCTTCCAGAGGACCTGGGTTCAATTCCCAGCCTCCACATGGCAGCTCACAGCTGTCTGTAACTCCAGTCCCAGGGTATCCAACACCCTCATGCAGACAAATATGTAGTCGAAACTTTTTAAAAATTGTTCTAGCACTCGGGAGGCAGAGGCAGGTGGATCTCTGTGAGGTTGAGGCCAGCCTGATCTACAGAGCGAGAGCCAGGACAACCTCCAAAGCAATACAGAGAAACCCTGTCTTGAAAAACAACATATATGTATGTATGTATGTATGTATGTATGTATGTATGTATGTATGTGTATGTATGTATATGTATGAAAGTCTATTCTATCACACCTCATTAAAAAAAAGAATAGCTTCATTCCTGTTACACCTCTAGAGGGTGTGGTGTCCAGGTGACCCAGGAACAATTAAAGGGACCATCTGTCTTGGATGCTCCAGATGACTCTTGCCGTCAGTGTGGCCCCTGTATTTGTAGGTGGGCAGACCCCTCTCCAAACAGAGTGCGTACATGGAGTCTGAGGCTTCCTGCTTTGAAATGACAGTGTTTGAGGGGCAGGGGCTCTGAATGGGTGTCCTGGAAAAAGTGGGTGCAAAGTAGTGTGGCTTGGAGTTCCCCAAGCCTCTCGTGCCCTGAAGCTATCAGGAAGAAAAAGTGGCCTTCCTTCTCATTGTTGGTATGAGTGGCCCTCTGGGTGGACTGCAGCTCCCAGCTCCTCTGTGATGGACTCTAAGATGGTGTAAACACAGGGAGGAACTTCAAAGACTTCCGTGGAGCCCATGAGAAAGTATGTTGGTGATGACAGTTGGTTTCACTTATGAATAATGTCCTGGATCCCATCACGAATAAGATCTGGTGTGGTGGTTATGGTTATGCCTGTAAACCCAACATCCAGAGAGGTGTAGAGGCACAAGGATTAGGAGTTCAAGCTAACCTTAGTTGCATAGGAAGTTTGAGGACAGTTTAGGATAAAGAGGCCATCTCTATGTGCAGTGGTGGCACACACCTTTAATCCCAGCATGCTGGAGGCAGAGGCAGGGGGATCTCTGAGTTTGAGGCTAGGCTAGTCTATAGAGTAAGCTCCAGGACAGCCAGAGATGCTACACAGAGAAACTCAGTTCTGAAAAATCAAAATAATAATAATAATTTTGTAAAGGGCTGAGACTGTAGTTCAGTTGGTAGAGTGCTTGCCTAGTGTGCATGAAGCCTTGAGTTCAGTTAGTACATGAACCTGTAAACCCAATCCTTGAGAGGTGGAAGTCCAGATATCAGAAGTTCAAAGTCATTCTTAGGTTACGTATTGAGATTGAAGCCAGCCTAAGATACATGAGACTGACTATGTGTTGTCTCCGCCCATGGGGAATTGAAAGCCAGGAATAACATATCTCCATATCTCTGTGTTGGAGTGTTTAGCCAGAATCCATAGGGCACTGGATTTCACCCCCAGTATATATAATAGTAAGATGGGTGATTTACAGCATGACTGGTTCCTTGGGAGAGACTGTCCCAGGTCGCCTGTCCTCTGGGGGCTAATGACCTGTGTGCTTCTTTTATCTATAGGAACATCATCCATCTCTGCCACTGTACACAAGTCTGTGTCCACACTTCTCCCCATATACAAGGTCACCAGTCCTTTTAAGATAGGGCCCTGATGCCAGGCGTTGGTGGTGCACGCCTTTAATCCCAGCCCTCAGGAGGCAGAGGCAGGTGGGTATCTGTGAGTTTGAGGCCAGCCTGGTCTCCAGAGCGAGTGCCAGGATAGGCTCCAAAGCTACACAGAGAAACCTTGTCTCGAAAAACAAACAAACAAAAGATAGGGCTCTGAGTCTTCATGGGTCACATGCTGAGGAGCATGGTGAGGGGGGCATGTCTCTGCCTATCACACAGACAGCAGATGCAGCCCTCAGTGGGATCTTCTGGAGTGGCGGGTTTCTTGATCACTGCCCTCTTTTTATCTCCTCTGTCTATCTGCTTCTGGAAGCAGGCTCTTTACAGCTGTCATGCCCATGGTGGCAGCCGGATTGATCCTTGACGACCCCACGTTGCAGCCTGTGCGAAGACTCGTGTCCCTTGTAGGCACTGTCTGTGTTTGGGGTTTTTTGTTTTTCTTTTTTTGCTGTGCCTTTAGAATGGCTGTGGTGGCTGCTGCCAGCCTGTCCCTTCTGACCACTTCAGTTGCATGGCCGTCACCTGCTTGTTGGCATCTCAAGTGGGTATGGAGTGTGATTGCCACTGTTGCCCTTGACCTCCACAAGTGCAGCCAGGAATGTCACCGATAATTCTTTTTGTCTCTTCTGTTTTCACTCTAAAAACCACCTTGTTCATGATCCAGTAAAGAAGATCCTTTAGGTGACGGGTCAGTAACCAGTGCCCCCTGGGGATCCGAGTGTGACACTAACTGCTTCTCTGTCTCCAGCTTTCTAAATAGCTTTGTCTTGGCAGCTGTTTGGTTTGGTGCAGAAAAGTGGGGGAAGGGAGGGAGCTGGTATCTGCAGGTGGCTTCCCTGAGTCAGGCTGAGTCTGCAGTGGTGGTTGAGCTAACTCAATGCCTGCTGTGTGAGAACGAGCCCTCCCCTGATGAATGTGAGGCCTCTGCCTCCACTTGCTCACACTTGCCCTTTAAAGCCCTAGAGAATTTCCCCAGGTGAACTTGGCTTGAGGATGAAAGAGCATTCTATCCCTGCTAGAAAGGGAGTGTAGCTCCAGTAGCCCTGGAAGGGCAACATCCTCTTCATTAGACTTGATCATAACAAAACCCCTGGGACTGGGGATTCAGCAGATGTGAGGACCTGAGTTCAAATCTCCTGGACCCATGTAAAGTCAGATCCCAGAGCATGTTCCTAGAACCCCAGCTCTCCTAGTGAGGGACAGGAGGAGAGAGGTGATGGCAAGAGTGGGGGTAAACAAGAGACCAGTCTCAAAGTTTAGGGGGCTTGCAGGATGGCTCTGCAGGCAAAAGTGCTTCCTGCCCAGCATGACCACTGAGGTTGGCATAGGAGGATCACAAATTAAAAGTCAGCCTGGGCAATTTGGCAAAGTCTTGTAAGATTAATATCAATGGGCTGAGGGTTGGTGAGATGGCTTATGGAGTAAGCATGCATGCAATGAAGTCTGTGGACCTAGGTTCAATAACTGGGACCTAAGATAGAGTGGATGGAGAGAGAATTGCTTTCCTCAAGTTGACTTTAGACCTACACACACACACAGTAATTGTGGTTGGTTCCGTGGTTGAACACTAGTCACACCTAGCATGTGTGACTACGAGGGCTGGCAAGATGGCTCAGTAGATTAAGGCACTTGCCACCAAGACTGAGAACCTGAGTTCAACCTCTGGGACCCACATAGTGTAGGAAGAGAACTCCTACTATTTGTCCTCTGGCGTCTATATAGGAGCCATGTCACTTGACTGCCCACACTCTCATACATACACATGAATGAATGAATGAATGAATGAATGAATGAATGAATATTAAGAGTGGGTTTGTCTCAGAATCCTCTTCCTCACAACTTTCAGGTTCTTTCAAAGCATCATTAGATTCATTAGAGAAATTTCTAGGCTGGAGCTGGGCTCAATAGGTAGAGTGCTTGCCTAGCATGCACAAGGCCCAGGATTTGACCGAAGCCCCGGTGCTTTGTAGAATTCTGCTGACTGCATCTCCCATACTGAGAGTGGATCTGCTTCCCTCGGTGTTTGTGCCTGTGTGTCCTAGCCTTGAACTAGGTGGAGCGGCAGAGGATAACCACTTACTTCCATCTTTGTTTTTCTTTTCCCCTTCCAAAAGGTTTAGCTTTTTTTCCCGGGACAAGAAGCGCCTGACCAACACACAGAGACCCACGCACATCCATGAGTCCTTTGGCCAGTGGGCAAATACTCACCGAGATGATGGGTACACAGAACAAGGACAGGAAGCCCTACAGCACCTGTGACTGTGCCCCCCTCCTGGACCGCCTACCACCTACTCTGGGTGGCTGCCTCAACATTGACCCCTCAAACGAACTGTCTGCTTTGAGGGTGATGAAAACCTGATGCCAAAATCTAAAGAAGTGTCTATTTATCTGCAGGGCTATCCAGTTTATATTCAAGGCCTCTGACCCCTTAGGACCTATATTTAATAAGACAAGGATCTGAAGCCAGACCTTGTTGATTTTAATAACAAGCCTCCTAAGCTGAATACATCACTTACCACTATCATGGCTGTTTGACTCCTAGGTTTAGTTTTTTGTTGTTGTTTTGTTTGCTCATGGCCTTTGTCATGTTAGTGAGAGGCAGTGGAATGGGAATTTTATATTATGCAGTTGCCCTGGAGGTAGCAGGTTGTAGAAGATGTATGGATCAGCCAGGCGGAGCCTCTAGTCATAGGAAGAGCCACCCGACTTGGACAGTACACAACAGAAAGTCATCACAGTCCTTCCAGCCACAGGATGGAAACAACCTTGGGGTTGTCACTTGCTGCTCCCGGTAAGGCTAGAGGCCCAAACAGCCTGTCCAAGGTGGTGTGCCTTGATTCTGCTGTGAGCTACACAGTACTAACCAAACAAAGTTGTCTAGGAGACATCGATGTGTTTCCTGTGTGCGTTTTTCCTGTCATCTTTGTTCCTTGTGTGAAATTCTGGGTCCTATGCAAAGAAGACAATGCCTTAAAGGAGCCTGGGTGATGTGATATGGCTGATGAGGAAGACAGATGTATGGGTGGAAGGGCATCGGGTAAGCAGGGCCTTGGGCACCACATGCTTAGCTGACCCATGGTTGCCATGGCCACTGGAGGCTGGCCCATGGACTGCTGTTGATGCAGAGCACTGGGGATTCAGGGCTTCAGAGGGCAGCAGTTCCTAAGATCATATGATGGATTGGACCATCGTGTATTGTACTTATTTTTGCTAAGAAACTGAGTGAAAGTTGGGCGTTGGTGGCGCACACCTTTAATCCCAGCACTCGGGAGGCAGAGGCAGGTGGATCTCTGTGAGTTCAAGACCAGCCTGGTCTACAAGAGCTAGTTCCAGGACAGCCTCTAAAGCCAGAGAAACCCTGTCTTGAGAAAAAAAAAAAAAAAAAACTGAGTGAAGCTGAGCATGGGGGTGCATGCCTATAGTCACACTGTGGCTCCCATGTAAGTGACATCAGAAGTTCTAGCCACTTTCTGACAGTAAGGAGATGGAAAATTCAGTGGCAACTTTTTTTTTGTGGGTGGGAGTGTGGGAGCTAGGACTTGTTATATGGCCCTAAGTGGCCTCAGACTTTTTTTTTTTTTTTTAAGACAGGCTTTCTCTGTGCAGCTTTGGAGCCTATCCAGGAACTCGCTCTGTAGACTAGGCTGGCCTGAAACTCACAGAGATCCCCCTGCCTCTATCTACCCCCT